CAGGAGGTCACACAGCAGTTTGGGGTCTCAGTTATCAACTTGTTCACCTCCATGACCCAGATTCATCAGCAGGTTCCGTACTCCGGGGGCAGAGGGAGTGGATGCCCTTCGACATCCCTGGCCCCGTGGACTGCTCTATGCCTTCCCAACAACTCCATTGCTAGCCAGGGTCGTACGCAAGATCATCTACAGCAGAGCAGAAATAATCTTTATTGCCCCGCACTGGCCACGGGGTCCATGGTTCGTTGAACTCAGTGCACTATCCATGGAGAGACCGTGGAAGATATCACTGGACAGAATTTCCCTCTGCCAGGGGTCACTGAACCACCCAGATCCGTAGTGGCTCCAGCTGACTGCCTGGCAATTGAGCGGGGCGTTCTGACTCGGAAGTCCTTCTCAACCAGAGTAGTGGACACGATTCAGGCATCCAGGCAACCGTCCACAGTCTGTATATGTAACGTGACCTGGAGGATCTTCTGCAAGTAGTGCGATAGCAAGAATGTCACACCAACTCTAGCCTCTATCCCCCAGGTTCTGGAGTTCCTGCAGGATGGTTTAGATAAAGGGCTATCCCCTAACACTTGTGGGTGTCAGGTAGCCATTCTGACCACAATCTTAACATAGGGACGAGGCCAGACCCTGTCCCAACACCCCACAGTGAAATGATTTTTCAAAGAGGCGTCCACCCTTAGGCCACCCACTGTCCATAAGTACCCAACATGGGACTTCCCAACAGTCCTCTTAGCACTTATCAAGTCTCCCTTTGAACCAATTGCACTATTTCACTGCAATTCCTTACACCGAAGGTCGTGTTTTTTAGTGGCCATCACCTCTGCTAGGAGGATTTCAGAGTTGCATGCCCTGTCGATAAGGGAGGACCTGTGCACTTTCCACGAAGACAGGGTAATGCGACTTGACCCTTCATTTACACCCAAGGTAGGCTCCTGGTTTCACAGGGCACAGGAAGAAGTCCTACCAAACTTCTGCCCTACACTTGGCTGGCCATTAAAACAGCAATGGTACAAGCTAGATGTGAGGCATGCCCTGGAAGTCTACATACAGAGAACATCCAAGTTTCGGCGTTCTGAGTCACTATTTGTTTCCATTCAAACCACCACCTTGGGACAGAGGGTATCTATTTCCACCACAGGTAGATGGAAGATTAGAAAATGCATAGCTGAAGCATACCAGGTGGGGGGGATGTCTCCTCAAGGGGTCACCGCATACTCCATGAGAAGTACAGCTACAACGGCAGTGTGGGCGACACAAGCATCCTTCGAGGAGATTTGTAGGGCAGCCACATGGGCATCACCTTCGCCCTTCATTCACAACTATAAATTGAATAAATCTGCATGTTCGGATGCAACGTTTGGCTGTCGAGTCTTACAATCCATACACATGGTCAGATGACTTGGACCAGTACCTTTGATCTCTCCCTTTTGGGCAATCCAGCTTGAGTATGTCCCATACATGGATGCTATCCCAACCTTATTGAGAAAGAGCGTTGGTACTTAACCTGATACGCCTCTTCTAATAAGATCGAGATAGCATCTGGCTCAACCTGGTGAGGGACTGGTCCTCATTTGGGTTTTTTCCCTCGACAGATGGAGAAGGATGCCAAGAGTATGCAGTAAGGGAGCATGCATGGTGCTGATTTTGTTCTACTTCTGCATTTGACGTTAATAAAAAAAATTCATAGTTCCGGATAACATGTTGAGTCTGTATGTGTTTATCTTTTCCTTTGCCAAAAGCTGGGTGGGCCTATCCCAGGGGGCGGGTTATATAGGAGCATTAATTAATTATTAATCAGACTCAGTCCAATCGGAGAAAGGACAATTTTAACCCATACATGCATGGATGCTATCCCCTTATTAGAAGAGGCATATCAGGTAAGCACCAACACACTATCTAATCATCAAAACCATAAATTGTAAATTCATTTTCATGAACTGATGATTTAAACCTATAAAGGATCTAATCAAGGAAGCCATCCTTAAAAGTTCCATCATTTTCATTAATCATTCATCTATTGTGGGTAGTGCCATTTTTTTCTGCCTTTGCTCATTTAGGGACAAAGTTTGTAACTTTCAATTGGTAGATTACACAAAAAATCATGTAGTCCTCAACTTAAACCATTAGTGATGGTTTGAAGTTATAATAGCACTGAAAAAGGTGACACATCGCCAATTTTTAAAATTACAACCATTGTAGCATCACCATGGTCACATGATCAAAATTCAAATACTTGACAACTGGCATGTATTTATGACAATTGCATTGCTCTAGGGTCATGTCATCACCATTTGTAACCTTCCCAGCTGGCTTTTGACAAGCAAAGTCTGGGGGAAAGCCAGATTCACTTAACAATTGCATGATTCACTTCACAGCTGTTGCAAAAAGATCATAAAATGGAGTATTACTCACTTGCATTGCTTAGCAGTAGAATTTGGGCCTCCATTGTGGTCCAAAGTTGAGGGCTACCTACCTGTATTTCAATTATTGTTTTCTGGGTAGCAGAGCTAAGATTGACCACAATCCACTGATTGGATCTTACAATATAATATTAAGATAATAGATAGAATAAACATGCAATCTGGAAAACTGTCAAATCAAATTGTCTTGACATTTGATAAGTATCTGCCTACCAAATAAGAATTTGCAGAATTACTCAAAATTCTAAATTGTTTTATTTTGAAAAATATACTTTCATAGGAAAAAAATTTCATTAGAAACCTGAATAATTAAAAAATAGGTTCAAACATAGTGCTGTGAATGTAGTCCACCCACAAGTTCACACATTTCCTGAATCTTTTATTTTATATGTGTGAGTTGCTGTCTTGCCCTATGGTGAAGTCATGAAATATGATTCTTTTCAGAAATAAAAGGAACAACATGAACAAATGAAAAAGGCAGCTCAAAAAACCAGCACGTTGTTCTTTATAGCTTCTGATTAAAATTTAGACTGGGGATGTCCAAGTAGTAGAAACAGAGGGAACATCTGTTTTATTTTATTTTATTTTAAATAGAAAGTTTTTTTATTTTACATACAATTATAGGTATACATTCACATATTATTCTTTTTTTACATTCATGGCTCTTATACATTTGTCATTATAGCATTATAATATTCAATTTGGGTTGTTTTGTTTATCATCCCTCGCCTGTTTTGAAACCACCTCCTTCTCCCTTTTTTCTCCTCCCTCCCTTCTCTACTTCCTTCCTTCTTCCTTTCCCTTCCCTCTTCCCTTAGCTCTCCCCTCCTCTCTTCCTCTTCCCCTTCCTACTCTCTCTCCTCTCTTTCTCTCCTTCTCCCTTACATCTTCCTCTTCTCTTTATCTTTCTTCGCTCCTCTTCCTCTCCTCCTCCTCTCTTCCTTTCTCTCCCTCCCTCCCTTTTCTACTTTCTTCTTTCCTCCTCTCTTTTTCCTTTCTTCTTCCCTTGCCTCTCCCCTACTTTTCTCTACCCCTTCCCCTTCCTACCCTCTCTCCTTCTCCCTTCCATCTTCCTCTCCTCACCTCTCTCTTCCCTCCTTTTTTTCTCATTTCCTCTCCTCTCTTTCTTTCTTTTTCTATTGTTGCAGGTGTCTCTTCCAGCTTTTAATTTATATTTTATTTGGGTGGTATTTCTGCAAACCAAAAATCATTGAATTTTTGTCCAGAAGACTCTTTGTCCAGAAGACTCTGTCCGGTAGCCGGCCCATAGAGCGCACTCCTAGAGCAACCGCTGCTGGAAGACTCAGCAGCAATATTTTGGAGTTTAGAAGCCAGAGAAGAAGTTATGCTCAGAGCACGGTGGCGGCGGTGCCCTGGTGCTGCAGGGAGAGCTGGACCAGGGCATCGTGAGGCTGGGAGGCATGCTTGCTGGGCATGCTTGCCAACCAAGTGTCCACCACATATGGTAATATGAACCTGGTATTTGATGACATTTCCAACATTTTTCTGATTTGTCCTTGAACATTCTTGCTATTCTGGCCGGGGGTAAATGCCACCTGCAAAACATCTTATACAAGTTTTCTTTATATGCTGTTGACATTGTCATTTTATAATTTTGTGACCATATTTTTTGCCATTTTTCTAAATCAATTCCATGATCAAAATTTTTCCCCCAAACAATCATAGATTCTTTAACTTGTTCTTCTTCTAGTTTAACCTCTAATAAATATTCATATAATTTTGTAATCATCTTTTCATCAGTACCTGTCAGACTTTTATAAATCAGTCATTTTATCATAAAAACCTTCTATTGTAAAATCTTCTTCATATCTAGAATGTATTTGCGTGTATGAAAACCAGTTCATTCTTAAACCTTGTTCTTCTAATTATTGCACAGATTTAAGTTCACCCTTAGCATTCAATATTTCACCATATCTAACTGTTTGTTCCTTTTTGTATATTATTGAATATGAAAATGCTTCAATAGTTGATAACCACACTGGAATTTTTAAATAATGTTGCCTTTTAATCTTCTCCCAGTTTAATAACAAGTATGTAATGTCTTCTGAAATAACTCTGTGTTTTAGTTCCCTTATATCATAAGAAAGCGTGCCAACCCAACAACCAAATAAACCCTCTACCTCTCCTCTTTAAACC